GGAAAACTTCTTGAGTAAGTTAAAGAACATGAAGTGTAGAATTCAAAATTTTACTCCATGCACTTATAAGGAAAAACCTTACTATTCACCCTTGGACTTTTGGCTATTAAAGTTCCGCCTAACTCTACCAAACTCGCCAAACAAGCTTGACTCGCTCGCAAGAACCACACGATTCTTACGAGCTGGGGGGCTAACTGTTGGGGTCAAAATTGGTACGACGGAATCAATAGCCAAAATTCTCCGCAAACACATAAACGCAACAGTTTTGTAAATCTCGAGAATCATTTTATAAAACTCGAGAGATCAAAGCTAGAAGATCGTTTTATAAAACTCGAGATATCATTTTATAAAACTCGGAGGTCGTTTTATAAAACTAGAGATATCATTTTATAAAACTCGAAAGGTCATTTTACAAAACTCGAGAGATCGTTTTATAAAACTCGAGAGATCGTTTTATAAAACTCGAGAGATCGTTTTATAAAACTCGAAGATCGTTTTATAAAACTCGAAGATCGTTTTATAAAACTCGAAGATCGTTTTATAAAACTCGAAGATAGTTTTATAAAACTCGAAGATAGTTTTATAAAACTCGAGGATCGTTTTATAAAACTCGAAGATCGTTTTATAAAACTCGAGAAGCCGTTTTATAAAACTCGAGAAGCCGTTTTATAAAACTCGAAGATCGTTTTATAAAACTCGAGAAGCCGTTTTATAAAACTCGAGAAGCCGTTTTATAAAACTCGAGAAGCCGTTTTATAAAACTCGAAGATCGTTTTATAAAACTCGAAGATCATTTTATAAAACTCGAGAAGCCATTTTGTAAAAATCGAAGATAGTTTTATGAAACTCGAGGATCGTTTTATAAAACTCGAGAATCATTTTATAAAACTCGAGAAATCGTTTTACAAAACCGCGAAAAACCGAAACCGCCGCAGAACGCGAACTAGTCGCAACCAGTTCGCCTGCTGGCGAACTAAGCCAAGCTGGCTTAGTTCGCCAGCAGGCGAACTAGAAGGTTCCGGACTNTCGATTTCCCGCATCCCCGATTCGAACTTACGACACGGTCGCTTTCTGAACCACGGCCGAAATGTCTCTCGTTTCATCTCGATCCGACTTACCGTTCGAGTTTTACGATAAAAACCGTAAAACTTCGTTTTCTCGGAAAGAACTCGAGGAAATCGTATAAAACGGCAACGGTTAAACGAAACACCGAACAATGCCTAAATTATACGATTTATTCGAAATTTCTCGTTGAAATCATTAAAAAACGCGCTTTTAATAAAAAACGCCGAGTAAGTCGTAAAAACGTGTTTTTAATAAAAAGTCGAGTAAATCGTAAAACTTTGCGATTAACTCGAGAAATTTATTAAAAACGACGTCAGATCAGGAAACGATCCCGTAAAAGTCGGAAAACGGTTTTTATCGTAAAACGGCCCGGAAGGACCTAAAACGCGATAAAACCCACCTCGCGACTTCAACGGAATCAAACCCGCAGATTTGATAACGTTTTGACGGTTTAGTCGCAGAAAGAAAATAAAAGTCAAGTTTAAACATAAAAGGAAGGTTTGAAGAGAAATAGAAGATTTCCGCAGAAGAAAAGGGAGGATCGAGAAGAATGGAAAATTCCCGATTTAGTCAAATCTGGGCGAAATGGAAAGATCGGATAGCCAAGATGAGGAGTATATAAAGAGGAGGTCTAGGGCAGAAGCAGAGACATGAAATTCAGAGCTCTCACCACCAAAACTAGCATTTAGGAATCTTTCCGTTTTTCTGTTAGCGAGCTGCGTCTCAATTAGGGTTTTCTAGTTCTTACGCTTTCGGAAATTCTTTTTGTACCAGTTCTACGCAGATTCGGAATAAGAACCTCTTTGCTCTCTGCTTTCGTTTATTCTCATTTAAATTCTAAGTATTTTCGTCATCTTATTTTCGTTGTGCGGTTCTCGCAGATAGCCGGTTCCTCTGGAAACTTAGGGTTTTCCCGAAGTTTCCTTATTTACGATTTATTTGACAGTAGGGAGAAATCGACTCCCACATTTTCGATACGGGAGTCGGAGCTTGGTTTGTACTGAGAAGTACTTTTTCTATGAGATCCTTTTCGGACATAAACAAAAACAAAAGATTTCTCATCTGAAACAACAGATCTATCATCGGAGAAAACATGCAACCTTTTGGAGAAGAAAAATAAACTTAACTTTTACTTTCTATGCCATAGATGTGAACCAAGAAAGATGAATCTAGATCATCAACAAAAAGGAGATTCGTATTATACCTACATAGACGGCATCTAAGTAGAAATTTTCTTGGATCCGTTTGATTAATTTTTGGAGAGAGAAATGAAGTTTTTTTTATTTAGGAAGAGTATTCTCGAACAAGAAAAAGACATCATCGCCTTTTGTCGCTTTTTCCGTATATAGTGAGTTGGGCCTTCATTTGTTTGCAATCGGATGTGAGATTTGAAGCTCAACTTACGATTATCTTTGATTTTAAACCCATTTTCCATTTGTAAATTTTTTTATATTTTTTCAATTTGACCTTCTTATTAAAAAAATTTGATGAACATTTTTTTGTTCTAATGAAAATTGTTATTTTAAGGAAAATTTTTAAATTTTTATATTGCATATTCTGAATTATACATAATTGGGCCATGATTTAAAAAACCAAATTTTAATTGCATAGCAAATTCTAATGTGTAGTATTTTTTTGTGTAACATTCTGTAATATTATGTGATATAATAATGTTCTTATAATTACATATGAAATCAAATCATGAAATTTTAATTAAAATTATATGATTTTATCTATTTAATTATTATTTGATTAATAAAAAAGTTCAAAAAATCCTTTGTTTTTTGTTTAATATCTATTTAGGATTAAAGTATAAAATTAATGTGTGAAATAGATATGTCACAAATGTACAGTTCTAAAAAATCACTGTTTCATTACAATTATCAAATTTCTTAGTAACAATTAAAACTATATATATATATATATATATATATATATATATATATATATATATATATATATATATTCTAATATGATTATAAGGAAAAACACATATATGCTTACAAAGAAAAACATAATTATATTTACAAAGAAAAGCACAAATATAAAACATTTGAGTAAAAATGAATATATAAAACAAAACATATTCCCGCCGGTCAAAATCTAGTCTTATATATTAAAAAATAATTCATGACATCACTTCATGTGTATTTTTTTTTAAAAAAATGGACTATTCCTTAGAAAGATTATCAAGTTATCAAATATTACCTAATTTTGATAATATCTTTAAATATATTTATTTTTATATTTTAAATATAGATGAAATAAATCTAACAAAATCTTTTTTTTTGGCATCTTTTTAGATTGTAGAATTTAAATTCTAATTATCAGAAAATATCATTACAAATTATCATTTTATTTATAAATCAAAATTTTAAATTATCTAGAATATTTTTAATTATATTTTATTGAGAATAATAATAAATTTATGGAGTTTCAAAAAATACTTATTTAAAAAATTTAAATAGATTATGTTAGAAACAAATACTAAAATTTTATTTCAAATATACAAAATATTATATTATATATTTATCTATCTATACTATTAAAATAAAGTCATGATTTATTTCATGTATAATTTTTTATTTAGACCCATCTTTAAAACAATTATCAAATTTTACGTAATTTAATTATAATATCACCCCATATCTTTATATTTTATTTAAAATAAAAATGTTTTTGCTTAAGAAATTAAAATTTATCTGGATAACACTATATATTCCTAAAACCAATATACTGAAGTTTAACCCACACAAATGTTTCATTTTTAAATATAAAACTTTGAAAGTATTATAAAATATTTTAATATAAGATTTAGATTTAATTTTATATATTATATAACTCTATAATTTTGTTGTTTAACTTTCTTATTCGTCAATATTAATATATAGTAATTTTTTATATTTTTTAATTTATATTGTTATTAATTTTTATTACTTACTAATATATTTTTTGAGTTCGATGAATAAGTATAATCTGAAATAATCAAATATATAATCTTCTTTGATATAGAGGTATAGTTTCTGCAATTTGCATACAATACATTTTAACATTGGTTTAAATATGCTATAGATAAATATTTGTTAATGATAATTTATATTCTTATGATGTGCTTAAAAATAATTCTTTAACATATATCACTTTAGTATTTTGTGAGATTTTTTAAAAATATATTGTTATTTATTGATAATTTTTATAATTATAAATAAAAAGAAAATTCACACGATTGTGCGGATCAAGATCTAGTCTAACTATTAAAACTGAAGTATAAATGTGAAATACCCTTTATTTTTATTCAATAATTACACCATTGTGCCATTAGATTTAGGGGAAATTGGAAAAATAGGCCATAATAGAAATGTTTTTGTCTCTTTATACCTTCACAATAATTAGTCAGTTTTTGACATAAATACTCTCATAATAATAAAAATAATTATTAAAAATGATACAAAGCTCAAAAAAATATGAAAAATCATTATAATCATAAGACTATTTTATAGGTTTTGCTAAAAAAAATAAACTTCAAATACAGTTTGGATGTGTTGATCTAGATTTGTAAGAATGTATATTATAACTGTTTTTACGAAGCTAAAATACACATTCTAACTTGTCTTCAACGTTTTATCAAATTTAGTATTTATATTGTAACCATATGTCTATGATATA